ATATTGTCTCTTTCATTATTTTCCACCAAAACTACCATTGACACTCCTGACTCTGAATACGGCAATGTAAAATCTACATACAATGAGCGATTAGCTACAATTGTTGTGTCTCCCACCACAGCATCATACTTCTGCATTTTAAATCACCAATTGAAAAGTACATTAGAGAAGGAGATAGAGAGAAAGAGAGGATGACCATTAATTTAACCTGTAAAATAAAACTTACCGTTGCTTTGATTCCGTAAAGAAGTTCATCATATGTCCCATTGAAGCATAAGAAGTCATGGGGAAGCGGAAATGGTAGTTTAGCCAGTGCAGCAAAGAAGACATCAGCAGCAAATCCCGATATATTTTTGTTTTCCACTTTTATGAATTCATTAAAACCTTCTTTCATTGGAACTCCAATCCTGAGTTTCTTTGTTGCAGGTTGGTCTGTAGTGTCCCCTGGCCAAATTGGTTGCTTGAGTCTTCTCTTTACATCAGATTTTTCTGCTTCACTATTATCATACTTGAGCTGCCTTGACAGCCCTTTTTGTTGGTCAATCCAATATCCAATAATCCTTTCTTTACTGCCAATCACATTGAATATCTCAAAGGTTGAAGGTTCTAACTGTCCCTTGACCAACTGGAAATTCCCACTTAGGCTTTGAAATTTTGAACTTAGGATTGTTTCAAGAAGATTTTTACCCATGTTCCTGGTTTCCAAGCTTGTGTTTTGTTTCATAGACCTAGAACTTGTTGTTCCCACTTTCTCCACCGCCATTGCCAGTGCCCAAACTGTATCATATGCCCATAATCCAAAGAGGTTTAGGCCTGCAGTCATCTTGTTTGGTTTTTTCCATCTTATCATGAAGTCTTCAAGACATTTTGTCATTGGTATATGTGGCCTTACTCCCAACACACCTTCCATTGAATCCATGGCTTCCGAACTCACAGGATCTAACAAAGTTGATAGCCCTTCTGTAACAATCCATGCATACCCTTCGCTCATCATACCTATCTTCTTTGCTAGTATGAAGAATTTGGACCCAAGGGAGGCAGTCATATGCACCAGAAATATTCTTGTTGAAGTTGAGTTTAACCTGCCAATCTCCCTTCTAATTTCAGCATCATTAGAAGATGGAGGAATGACACTTCTGTAAGGTACTCGAGCACCAACCTCCTGGATAGCGTCCACCAGATACGGAATTAAACCATTGCCATAATCAGTGTCTTCATAGACGAGAACAACTTCCAACCAGCTATAAGCTTCAATGATGGCAGCTATGGCTTTTACTTGAGCAGAGTCATCAAAGGCTGTCCGGACAAAAAATGGGCTACGAGATGGAGAAAGAGAGGGACTGGTGGCAGAGAATGAAATGATGGGAACCTTAGCCTTTCTGCCAAGCTCCATCACAAACTTTGCTTCTGCTGACCTTTGAGGTCCAATGATGGCCTGCACTTTTTCTTTCTTCATCATATACCAGGCTGCATGAATTCAACAAACAAATGGTGAAAGAATTAAATTAATTAGCTAAGATCAAAAGGCTGAGTGTATGCGTGTGTGGCCAAAAATATATAGCTGGAAAGAAGGTAGTGTCTAATCCACCTTCAGATGCTGCAGTAACAATATCGTCCGCTGAATCCCGGGTGCGAAGATCAAGCCTTGTTCGATAATGAGCATGCTTAGCATAAAAATCTGAGAGTGCCATGGTCATATAGCTCTCTGCAATCGCTCCAACAGAGGAATTCAAGTCAAGAACTACCCCAACTGGTATTCGTATCACCTCCTTTGCCATTGAAAGCTGGATACTCCCAAGCCCGGCCAACGAAAGAATGAAGAAGAAAGATAGAAGGTGCTTCTGGTTTGTCATCATTGTTAAGCTACCTGGGTTTGTCTCATGCACTCTCACATATATTTAAATTACTGTTTTTCTCTTTCGATTTGCCTACTCTTTTTAGCTTTAAATCTTATGTACGATTTGTGTTCCAAGCTCATCCTTAATAGGAGTTTGAGAAAATGGGCAAGCATTTGGTCAACACTCATAAATGTTGATTCAATTTGCATCACTTGATAACTCGAGACAAGTCAATACCGGTCTCTTTCTGAATATTAACAAAGTCGTTGAAACTCACCGACTAAGCTTAGGTCGGTTAAGTCTCTCCTATATATGCCCATTCAAAAATGTAAGCTGGAAACTATAGCAGTCCAACTCAAGCAATCAGTCAACTCAAGTATTAAAGCCTAGTAGTTTTCCTACTTCAATCAATAGAATAAAACTACTTTGTTACTCTTTCAAAAGTTTTCCATTCCAAGTTAAGTTATTATCCTAAACACTACCAACAATTCCTTAAACCTCTTCTCCTTTAAACTAACAGTGATATTAGAGTTTGTTCCGATCAACCTTGGGCTAATCTGCTTTTGTTTTTTTTCCAGCAAATATGCAAATATGCATATGCCTTGGTGTAATATTTCTACGTTTTGTTGTGTTAGTGAATTTTCAACATCTCAGTACGTACATTCCACACGGCACACAAGATGACTAAATATGCAAAGATACATGTCTTCGACGACGGCGACCAAAGATATTGTGTTTGCTTGGAAGACGACACAGATGAAGATATCTTCTTCGTTAAGAAATTCTGGCCCTAACTAGGAATTTGGAGATTCTTTTTTGGACTCATTCAGGAAAATGGTTACCATGTCTAATCACCACTACTGTAGTGGTGCCCAGTTAATTATTTTATAAATACCACTACTGTAGTGCTGCCCAGTTCATAAAATTCCAAACTAATGTTGCTAGACTAAATAAGTAGAGGACAAGTATTTGTAATTAATAGGAATGACCGAGTGTCAAACATGAGCTGCAATTAGGTGAAATGGCTGAAGAGTAGTGAGGGAGGAGATGTGGAGGAGATCTGGGCCTACATCTGGAAAAACATGAGAGGAAGGGCAAACCAAAGCAAACTGAAAAAAAGGGAAAGGAAAGCCACACCAAAGGATGGCAGAGAAGCCACACAAGAGGTGGCGGAGGAGCCGCCCCGAAGGGCGGCGGCATAGACACCAGCAGCTCAGAAGAGGGCGGTGGGAAAGGAGAGAAGTTCTAGAGAGAAGGGGGAGTCTCTCTCTCTAAAGCTCTCCTTTTTTGGACTCATCCAGGAAAATGGTAACCAGGTCTAATCACCACTACTGTAGTGCTGCCCAGTTCATAAAATTCCAAACTAATGTTGCTAGACTAAATAAGTAGAGGACAAGTATTTGTAATTAATAGGAATAACCTTATAATCGAAACATTCATATTTTAACATGGTAGAGTGCACGATCCTAAGTTGTCTCTAAACCAACATCAAATTCTTCAATCAAATCATCAAACCTGAAATCAAATTACCAAAACATATACCACATAAACAAATCGCGCTGCGATGCCAAATTACAACGAAACTTTTGCCTCTGCTGACTTCCTTAGAAACAAAATGAAGATATATAAATATATATGTATTATGAATTGAATTAAGAAGCTTGTAGGCTATTAACTCACAACCAAGTGGGCTCTAGCTAGGCTATTAACTCACAACTAAGTTCGTTGCAAGTTTTCAGTTGACTTGACTTCGGATTGATAATAAATTTACAAATGAAGCTCTATACATATTCCAATTGTGTACAAAATCCCATCCATGAATTTGGATTCGAAACCTTAACTAGTGCTGCTAGACTAAATAGTTGTACTGATTGAGAAGGTTTTTTTTTTTTTTGCGACATTACCTAGAAACCTTCAGGAGGGACGAACAATGGAGGCTCAGCTGATTTCAGCATTTCATTTGGAGATAATTCTAATTATTTTGGGAAAAGATTCATTAGAAGCCAAAAATTGCATTCTTGTGGGTATTTATTAGCTTTCTGTACATAAATAATAAAGTAATGAATGTGAGATATGTGAAGAAATTTAAAATTGAGGCTAAATTTGCTGTGTACCTCTGTGTCAAGATAAGAACCACAAAAACCCAAATGATGAGCACTAATCTTGACCAATTGTTCACCACTTTCTCCCCTATCGAATTACAAAAGCATTAGTAATTAGACTACAAGCTTCATTGCGAATTTTGAAGAAAACAAATGCCTTGGTATAGGGAGAAGAGAACTTACTATGAGCAAAGACAAGAGTTGAAAAGGAGGACCAGAATATCATGCCAAGTTGTTGTTGTGGTGGACCTCTAAACTCGGAGTTTACCCGGTGTTCAAGTACCCATATTGTCTCTTTCATTATTTTCCACCAAAACTACCATTGACACTCCTGACTCTGAATCGGGCAATGTAAAATATACATACAATGAACGGTTAGCTACAATTGTTGTGTCTGCCACCACAGCATCATACGTCTGCATTTTAAATCACCAATTGAAAAGTACATTAGAAAAGGAGATAGAGAGAGAGAGAGAGAGGATGACCATTAATTTAACCTGTAAAATAAAACTTACCCCTGCTTTGATTTGGTAAAGAAGATCATCATATGTCCCATTGAAGCAAAAGAAGTCATAGGGCGGAAATGGTAGTTTAGCCAGCGCAGCAAAGAAGACATCCGCAGCAAATCCCGATATATTTTTGTTTTCCACTTTTAGGAATTCATTAAAACCTTCTTTCATTGGAACTCCAATCCTGAGTTTCTTTGTTGCAGGTTGGTCTGTAGTGTCCCCTGGCCAAATTGGTTGCTTGAGTCTTCTCTTTACATCAGATTTTTCTGCTTCACTTTGGTCATAGTTGAGCTGCCGTGACAGCCCTTTTTGTTGGTCAATCCAATATCCAATAATCCTTTCTTTATTGCCAATCACATTGAATATCTCAAAGGTTGAAGGTTCTAACTGTCCCTTGACCAACTGGAAATTCCCACTTAGGCTTTGAAATTTTGAACTTGGGATTGTTTCAAGAAGATTTTTACCCATGTTACTGGTTTCCAAGCTTGCAAGATTAATGACTCTACTTGTGTTATGTTCCAAGCTTGCAGGATTCATCATCAAAATGGAGCCACGAACTTGGGTGTTGATATCTTACTTGTTCCCGTGTGGATGTTATGGAAGTGGTGCTGCCGAGTCTGAGTTTAGGTGTTGGTAGGTAGGTGGTTCTACTCGCAGTAGGGATGATGTATAACCTTGGTGAATTGTGATGGCCCAAGTGTTGTGGAACTTTGGTTTGGAGGCACATTGATGTAAGGGTGTGTCGACGAGATAAGTGGGGGAGAACCACGAATGCCATGGAGGTATAGCAGTGCAGATGCACAAACAAATGGAGGTGTCATGGAGGACACACGGTTGGCTCACGAGTCACACCCAGGCGGGGTGCATCTTTTTGAATGTGGAAAATGTGGAAGTACCTGACCAGCGAGCTTTGTGTTTGTTCAATGGTTGACTGTGATAAGAGATAGAGGTCTCGGCCCAAAGAGGGAAAGAAAAGAAGTTGAAAAGGGTGAACACAGTGGTGCATTGTGGTCCATGGAGTGAGGAGAAGAGGATATTCCTATATGGTGTTGTTATGCGGCAGTGCAGTGGGCACTTCGATGAGGACGTCGACACTATCAGTGAGGGAGAATGTCACATATCGCACTTGAGCGTGTGCTATTGTGACTCCATTGGGACATCTATGCGCTTACAAGATAGTCTAAGTGTGGAAGGGCGAGGGCTTAAGAGCTAGAATGGTTTGTGTTGGCCGAGTTGCACACATGAAGGGTATTTTGGGTATTTTCAAAGGTTACGGGAGGAATCTGAGGAAGCTAAAAATACTGGGACGTTCGTGATGTTAAGATACATGCAACACAACTGACAGTTTGCCATTCGGAGTTTGTATGAATTAGTTATGCCTAATTATGACTCCTCATGCATATGTGATGTTTTCTCCTGACAGAAGGCTAAATGCATAAAATGCTATATAGGGGGTGACATGGTGTCATGCTCTCCACCACTCTTGGTGCTTACACCCTTGTGGCACTAAGCGAGCATCTTTATGACATTGGAGGTAGTCATAAGGGCGGTCATAAGATTGTTGAAGGATAATCTGTGTCTCCGAGGGAAAGGAATTCCCGATGACAGTACGAACACGCGGGGCCGTTCATATTGCGCATCGTTGTGAAGAGTGAGGTCAATGTATGGCATTCGCTATGCCGTCGGCAAGGGAGGCATTTGACAATACTCGATGGACTTGTCTTGGGTTCGGCCTTTTCTAATATGGAAGAAAGATATTCGGATGCCGGTACGCATGGGTTGCGACCCCATGCAATGCATTGATAATTATGTGGGACATTCGGAATACATATGTCGCCAAGGCTTGGGCGACATGCGAATGTGACAGCTTGCATGTATAGCTTGAGGATGTGGGCTATGAAGGTTGCTAACGGAATGACCGACAGAAGTGTGGGTAAACCGATGGTGTGTTGGAT